TGCCGAGCGGCCTGGCCCGGCCAGGGGAGGGTCTTGACCACCCAAGGGCCGCCAGATTCCCCAGGCAGCCGGGCTGCGTGGCCGCGGTATCCCGCGGGATTCTAAGGGGCAGCTGGTCGTTGCTGCCTTGATACTGGGACGGTTTCCGTTTGTGCCTGGGCCTTAGGCCGCTGGAGAAATCTTGGCGTGCGTGGAGCTGCCCTGCAGTTTGTTCTCACCTCGGGCACTGTCTTGCGGCTCGCTGTGACTGCAGCCTGTAAGCAAGGGCTGTATCTCTTTGAGTGCTCTAGAAAAATGAGTTTACAAATACTGTAGCGGCTGTGGTGAGGAACTTATTTCCCAGGTAGTGTGAATAGCTTAATTATGCTTTTAATTATCATTCTAAAATACATCTGGGAACACGGATGGGAAGATCATGAAAGGACTGGGGAGCCTGCTGTACCAGAAAAGGCTGAGAGAACTGGGATTGTTAAGCCTGGAGAAGAGAAGGCTTAGGGGAGACCTTATTGCCATGTTTCAGTACTTAAAGGGTGGTTATCAAGAAGATTGAGACTCGCCTTTTACAAGGAGTCACATGGAAAAGACAGGGGGCAATGGGTGCAAGTTAATTGTGGGGAGATCTTGATTGGACCTCAGAACAGCACAGTCAGAACAGAACAGTCAGACTTTGGAATAATTTCCCCAAGGGAAGTGGCAGATTCCCCAGCACTGGACACTTCTAGGACTCAGCTTGCAAGGGTGCTGGTGATGTTGGTTGGTAACTGAAGTAACTAAAATGTGGAAACAAGGCATGTAGAATAAAAAAAGAGCTTACATAGCACTGAAACGGCAAGAATTGGAGAAAAACACACCAGAAGCCTGTCCTTGTGATACAAGCCTGCAACACAGAGGAAAGGAACGGAAAGAAGTACTCCCCATAGCTTATCTTGGTTATAGCCTTGAATACTAGGTAGAAAACACTGACTAAATGACTACATGCTAATGTACTATTAGCACAAAAAAATACCCACCCATAGACTAGAGGGACCCCTACAAACAAAATCCCCCCTACTCTTTGAGCATGCCTGGTGAAACCTTTAAGCACTGTCACTTTAAATGGAACCAAACAACTAGTTAACCAATCACACATACAAGTGATAGAATATAATTAGAGGTAAAGTAATTTTATATGTATCTGTGTCTAAAAGTAGCCCTTGTGTTTCAGGAAGCTGAGCTTGCTTTGTGGAATGCCACATCCCCTAAGCTCTTGCCATCATTTCTAGAAAAATGAAAGAACAACCCAGCTTGTTCCTGTAAGGAGACCAGCAGCATCCATGTAACACCTTGGCTGAAAGAGTCAACAATCTCAATATTTGCTCTATTAATGTTTATGTATTTAGGATAAAATGCTCTAAGAAGAAAGATCTTTTTTCTTTCTGTACTTTTTTGAATGACGTGTCTACAGCTGGGGTTACCGAACAATTCATCAGTACCTGCCAGGCTAAGTGACAAAAGTCTTGGTGCTAGTGCAGAGGAGAATGCTCAGACTTGGCTCACTCATCTCACTGGAGGAAATTTCTGCTCTTCAGCTGTTGGGGAAGCATGGAAAATTGCCTTCATACAGACAGGATCCAGTGCCTTGACACTGGTCACCATTTCTCACCCATCCCTGTGGAAGAGGCACCCACCAGGGTGTCCCTAGTACTCTCAACAGCTGGAAGTCACCTGGTCAGGTGGGACAGCAGTTGACTCTAGTGCTGTCCCTGCAACCTGACTGTGCTCAGCTTGGCTCAATACCCATCAGCTGGAACAGGGCCCAGGGCTTGCCAATGCCTGCGGCAGAAAGGCTTTAGACTCATCTTCTTCCCCCTACAGCTACATCCATTGGGATTTCTGAAGTGCTGCCTACTAGTTAGTCTGAGCAGAGGCTTCAAAAGGAATCCCTCTTGCCTGTGCGTGACTGATCCCATGCAGCAGAAAAGGGACAAAGCTTCTGAAGCATCCATTCCCACATCCCTCACAGCTTTTTTTTGAGAGACCTAGTAGGGATCATGGGTAGAAAGCCAATAATAAGCTCTGCCTCTTTCAGGAAAGTATATGTAGCTATGCAAAGTATTTGTAACACTGACAGGCCAGGAAGTGAGCTTCAACACCAGAGCTGTAATTGTCCAGGCTGCTTAATTGCTAGCTTGCTCCCCAGCATTTTTGTTTCTCTTCATGGCAATGTCCAGGGATATTATTTCAATGACAGTTCACTCCAAAGACAGCTCCCAAGAGAGCAGTTTGGATTTGGGTAACCCTCCGCTTGAGACAGGACTCCAATAATAATAACAGTAAAAATTCACCATGAGGGAGATTAAATGCTGGAACATATTGCCCACAGAGTCTGTGAAATCTCCTTCTGTGGAGATACTAGGCAGAGCACAACCTTTGGTACTGATCCAACTTGGAAGTTAGACCTCTTGAGTGGATGGTTGGGCTATCTCATTTCTAGCAGTCCCTTTCAACCAGCATTTTTCCATGAGTCATTAGGCTTTGAACCCTCAAGCACCCTCAGATGCTCTCAGTGCTGGGTCACGGGGTCTCAGATACACATGCTCATCTTCACATTAGAAAAACCACTGCCTTGGTGCACTGTAAGCTCAGATGTCACCACCAGGAACTTGGAAACAGAAAAATCGTTGTGTGTTAGGGCCATAGGGCTACCAGAGTTGAGAGGAGACCCGTAGCTGCACAGCACAAACAAGGCCACTGTGTTACAGATGGATGAAAGCCCAAGCAACGTGGACATGAACCAGGTCTTACCACTTAGTCTCAGGCTTAGGGACATTTCCCGACTCTTTGAGCAATAAGGCTGAAGGAAACTGCATTCAGTTACTGAACTGTTACAGTATTAAATAATTACGTAGGATAAAATAGTAAAAAAACACCCTACCTAGCACTCAACTGGAAGCTTGGGGTGGCAGTTCCCTTACAGTGAAAGGATATTAAAAATTGATAGGAAGGTGTGTGTTTTAAACTCAAGGCATTTTCTTTAGTGACTATGCCAATTAAAAACAAATAGCCAGAAGAATCAAGCTGTTCTTCAAGAAACAAACTGTGGTTTCTTTCATAAACCTGAAAACGAACTACAGTGGAATATTTAGGAAAGGCATGTCTCCTTTAAATCAAGGAAGAATTTACATACAGGAACTATTTACATACAGTCCCAGGTAAAAGCATAGGGAACCAAGAGAGCCAATTTGCCTTCACACCCTTCTCAAGCACTCATTTAAGAGAGGTGATACAAGGTTTAATAACATAGCCTTTATTGATGACACTGGCAAACATGTTTTAAAGCAACTCATTTTTCATAAACGGGAAAGAAAATTTTAATTCCTATGATGTAATTACATATTTTTTTTAAGTCACTAATATAAAAAAAAAATTAAAAATGTTTGCATACCTGATAAAGTAGTACCATCAAGAACTCCTAAGCAACTGTGTTTTCTATAGGAAAGGGAAAACCAAAACAGATTTGCATGGATAGAAGTCAATAGTATAAAACAATTAGATGTATGCTATAAGGAATTCTGATGATTTGTGAGCTCAGTTCTTGAGGATGGCTAAAGATACAGATCCTACCAGGATCAAACCGTGTATATTTACACTCATAGGTGTAAAAGTAATATTGCCAGTTAACTGAAATATGCATTTTCAGTGTTTGTCTGAAAATTAATGAACACCAGAAGCTAAACTTTAAGCTCAAGTGTTCACATTTGAAATAAAATGCTTCTTGCATCCTGTATAATTAAGGCAAAGTATGTTATCTTTTGAAAATACCTTGTATATAGTTTCTGCATAAAAATGTGAAATAAAAAATAAAACTATATATATATTTAATGGAACACTGTTATGTATGGTCCAGCAGAGTAAGGCACAAAAAGTAAATTAATGCAAAAGCATATATAAAAGTTAATGTGTTATTCTGAGTGGAATATAGCAAAATTCAAGTAGTTCTGAGTATGCTAATTTCTTGCAATAGGAATATATATTTCTTAAAGGTATTTCATGCTAAGCCTGATGTACAAAGATTCATCATGTAAGCATAATCTATCAGAAGTAGGTCATTTGTACAATGACTCTATTTAGAAATCTGAATATTTTCAAACTATCTGAAACAAGGTTCCTTTAATGCTATGACTTGGCCTGAAATCCAAGCATGAATTTTTTCATGAGGCAAAGTATGTTGGTTTCTTGCCCAAGTCACTTGTGTGCATGCTTAATATGAAGGTTAATACATCCATTTATAGAAATGACAATACACACCCTGGACATGTTTGCACAGTTTGTTGTTGCAGGTATTCAGATGCAAATGTTCTGCCTCTGTTCAGTTCCGCACAGATTACTGTGCAGAATGGGCCACTTGCATCAGTTCAAGTGCATGATCAGAGTCAGAAACCTTTCAGGCAAGCTGGTATTTAATTTAGTCTGGAAGTATGGTCTGTTTATCAACAAACAAGCATACATGTACATGTAGGGTGAACAAAGAATCTTAAGACACTTCGATTTGATAGAAGGCATACATCATCATTTGTTGTCTGATTGTACCCTCAAAGCAACCCCCCACCCAGTAATATATGTAAGATTTTCACAAAGGAAGGGGAGAGCAGATGGAAGTCTTTACTTTCTTCCCAAAGTTTCAGCTAGTTTCTTCAGTCTTTTCTTCAGCTCTAGAGGAAACTTCTCATAACACTTTTTGCAGACAGGCTTCATATCAAACTCCACAAATTTATTCCTAAAATGACAAAGCAAAAAACAGATGAACTTTTAGCAGCAGCAATAGTGAAAAAATATATATATTGGAAGTATCCTATTAAACATGTTCAGGCAAAAAATTACAGCTTCAATTTATACATATATATGAAGTTACTTTCTCAAGGTTATACATTGTAAACAGTAATCACAGCACTGTGTTGAGGGAGTTATGCAGTTTTTACCCAAATGTCCATATTTACTAGCTGTGTCATTTAAGAAGCCTTTCAAACCTAACTAGAGCTAAACAGACTAAACATAAGATAATGAAGTAACAAGTTAATATTTCCAGTTGCAGTTGTGTGAAAAATATTTTGGTTTTGATTGGTGCAAACTCATGCAAAAACTTAAAATAAAAGCATCCTTAGCACTGACCAAAGAAGAAAGGAGCAGAGGTGGTGGTAAGAAGGAAAAAAAGTTTACAAACAGATTGGCTTTTTCTTTTTCTGCTTGTCTTTATCCTTTGCTTCACGTTCCCGTCTGGCAAGCCGTCGCTTAAATTCATCTGGCATTTTCTCATAGCAGTGTTTGCAGACAGGTTTTAGATCAATCTCAACAAACTTATCCCTTCAGAGTTAAACACAGAAAAAATAGAGGACAGAAAAGGAGAAGAGTTAAGAAGGCTAAGTGAAGGAAGACCTGAACAGACAGCTGAAAGAGATGTAAATGGAGCAAGAGGAAAAGAGATGTACATATTTCTCGATGCTGTTTTTATGTTTTTCATACTGTAACAGTTATGCTATTGCAACCTCTACACTTCGAAGGTAACCACTGATATGTTTGGGAGGCATCACACTGATTGATAAACTTACTTGAGTGTTAGCTTGGTGTTGCAAGTTGAACAAGCAAAACAGTTCACACACCACGCCTTATTCAGAGCAGACACGACTATGGTCACGGGGAAAAAAAAGACATTATTAGCATTACAGAGAAAAAAAAGGTATTACAAAAATTGTAAGCTCACATATTCATGAGGCACGAAGAACAGTAATTTGGTTCTTGTATCGAGGACTGTAACACTAACGTAGCACAACCAGGAAGGGACATGTGGGTATAGTGTAGCAAGGACTGTTAAGCACCGATAAAACTGCCTCTGAGGGTACATACAACTCTGTGCTCACCAGCAAGACCAGTTTAACCTATTTTTGCCTTGTGTTCCCTGCTTCCACCTCATCTCATAGCATGCTGACCTCAGGCAACTGTTCAATGAGCCTGTGTTTCCAAATTAGTCAGGAGACTTTTTCAGTGGAAAAGCAATCCTGCAAGATGGTGTTTAAGTTTTCATTCAGGTTTTTTTTCCAGCTTCTGTTTAGACTGCAGTGCCATCAACAGTAGCACTTGCCCAGCCAAAGAAAACAACATGAAGCCGGCAGTCAGGATGCTGATAGTAAATCAGCACTACCAAAGTGAAAACATTTATGGACTCGTGGGATAAATCAGTTGAATCAAGACAAACTTGGATATATTTTTATTCTTTGCTTTGGAGAGAAAGTAAATATTTTATCTTTGTTCTGTTTCTCAACCCAGTTTCTACTCCTCCTCTCTTTCAATGTACCTTTCCACTTTTCCCTGCCAAAATTTGCCTTTCTTCTTAATCTAAGTTAAACAACGCAGGACAATGGTTTTCTCATAAAATACAGCATTTGGTCAACAACAACCAGAACCAGAGCATTGTCATGCAGAATTTTTTTCCCTGGAATATGGGGCAAGTACATCTCAGAAGCATAGTTACAACACCGCCTGCCAAAATACTACTAGTCAGATTAAAGTCTTTACTCCCAAACAACCTCTAGAATACAGTCAGACACTTTCCTCAAAAACTGCTGCCACAAATGTTTGTTTCACAAGATTGAGAGAGAACAATACTGGATACTCATACTTTGTGATGCAGTGTCAAATTTGCAGAAATGAAAGAAGAAATGTAATTGAAGACATATATTGGAAGTAAAGAAATTACTGTATTATACTTTATTCTGTTCAGTTCAGAGACCAAAACATACAATATGGGTGTCAGATTATATGGTGAAAGGTTAGAAACATACAGAGATGGAGTTATAAGACAAGGCTGAATTTATTAATTCACCTCAAGTTCCAGTTCTGCTCATTCTAGTATGATTTTACTGAAGAGAAGGACAATATTTCCTCTAAGGCATTTTGGATTGTCATTCTGCAGGTATACTCCAGTCCAGAAAACGTGGGGAAAGCACATCTCTGGAATGTAGGTCTCACCCTATAGTTACATGACTATAAACTAGTTTGTCTCTTTTTACGCACTAGAGGCTTCCTTCTACTCTGCTAATTGCTTTGGCTTAGGAAAGGCTAACATTGGTATTATAGTATTTACTTTGGGCAGGGGCAAATAGGCACATCATGTTGCATTATTTCAGGTAGAATAATTTGCTTTTGGCATTTTACCATAGCTATTGTCCAAAAAAAGCCCCCTCAAAGCCACCAGCACCACACCCTCTGGAAAAAAAAAACCCAAACAAACCACAACAAAACCCAATCAAACAAACAAAAAAACCCCAAACCTGAACCACTTGCTTCCAGTTCTGCCTTTACAGACACATCTTTCCAAGTATGGTCTTTCCTGGTTTTGTGACATTATCATCAGCCTAGATTTTCAAAAAACAGTTGCCTGCGAACTAGACACAATTACAAAATCCCTTCAAGTACTCACTTTCAATATCTAAGTACTTTTTCAAATTTGGGTAATGATTTCTAAATTTGTTGAGGAGATGCCTGTGTGGTCATCCTTGCCCTTGCCTATGTTATTTTCGGACGCTGGTGGGGCAGGAAGCCACCTCTGTGCATCTCCCAGCATCCCTGGCCTTTGCTTGTCACTAAAGGTTTTCCAGTTGATCAGAGCTCTCTTCAGTCACTTGGTGGTCTTCCTCTCTGACTAATCAGCTCTAACCTCATTTCTTGATCAAAAGAATGGCCATTTTTGTTTTAGTGGGAACAAGCAAGGATTCAACAAGGAGCCGCTCTCCCCTCATTTCCACTTTTAAAGAGAACTTCCATCAGAAAGGAAAACTAGGGAAAGAGGAAAGTGCTTACCATCTCCTTCAATCACACGGTTGCAATGGAAACAAACATCACCGAATAGCTGAAGATGGAAAAGAAGTAATTAATTTTTAATGTAATTATTTTATTGAGGGCAGCTTTTCAAACTAGCAAAACATCTACTTTTCAGTTGATGAGCACAATCACTTTCCTATTAATTTCAGTAAAATAAAGAGAATGCTGGCCAGTCTGTTTTCATTTTCCAAGTGTGTTTTGCATCATGTCATCACAGAAAGTCTTCACAACATTAAAGGAAAAAACATTTGTTTTGCATCTGCTTGATTCTCTGTAAACACAATTATATTTTGTTTTAATACTTCTCTAATCCTAAACATTTGAAATACAGCAGTCGGTATCACACACACATTGTTACTCATCAGCCAGTTTAGCATTTGGAGAACATACTGCTGGTTTTTGAAAAAAAAAAAAAGTAAGGAGATGTTATTTAAAAAAAAAAAAAAGTAATATTCAAGCAAAAAATTATTCATTCTATTTCCAGGCTTAACATGTGTCCACAATGTAACAGATAAGAAGTTCCCAAAATGTTATATATTTTCTCTCATGGTAATAGTTAACCTAGTAAAAGACATCCACTTTACATACAGCTTTTTTCTGGTATATGCACTTGCCCTATCATGGCTGCAATGCTATTACTACTAATGTCACAGCATTTATTGTCTACAAGTACGCCAGCAACATTTCAATAATCTGCCCTTCATCACTAACATATTAAGAATCCACCTGTAATTAGCAGATGCCTTACAACTCCCAACTGTAACCAACCCCTAGTCTTGTGTGTATACAAGCAAAGAGGTGGACGTGATTCAATGCAGAAGGCTTCCAAATAAAAAAAGATCTACACATCGTGGTCCCAGACTATCCAATAAAAGGAGCCTGGAGATAGATGGTACCATGGGATATCACTTCTGTGGAAATGCAAGTGGTCACTAGGTGGTGTACTCCGACAAATTTAGTCTTAACAGTCTTTAGAAACCGGGTGAATGAGCTGGGTGATGACACAGTGCATGTTAACACACAATCTCAGAGTAGCAGCTGTAGGGTAAACCACACTACTCACTAGGGCCTACGAAGTGGC